CGAGACTCTCGTGGCTCGCTCCTCCGCCGCCATCGCCCAAGGCCCAGCCGCGCCCCGGGCCGCGCACGCCTCGGAGACCACCCTCCGCAACACCTCGTCGTCCTCCGCCTCCACGGCGGACCCCTCCGCCTGCGCCTCCGTGCGCTGCCTCGCGCCGGCCCGCAACCCCTCCAGCGCAGGTGCCAGATTATGCCTTACGAAATCGGTGGCCTGGCCGGGCATTTTCTTGCTACTGTAGGGGAAGAGTCTTAAGGCCCATTCACAATGCAAACGTAAACATAAGCATTACACAGACATGAACATTAACATATCTGAATGATTGAAATATTCACAACGTCTGACATAAAAGTAAGCTAATTAAGAGTTTCTATTGGCTGTGAGACATTCACCTTTACTATTGGTTGGATTTGAGAATCGATTGCGAGGTATGGACTGTGTCCATGGCCCATATGGCGTTAGTTCGTCTATCGACTTCGCTCCTCTTTCGATTCTTGATTATGAGTTAACGTACTGGTTCATTAACGTACTGGTTCACTGGTTAACGTATTGGTTCATTTGTTATGTCTGTGCATAAGCACAGAAGTTTGGGGCTTATAAGCTTTTAAGTTAACGTCTTACGTATTATGCTTATGCGAACGCATTGTGAATGAGTTTGCTTACGGACGTAGACTTTTATGTTAACACCATACTTATGTTTATGTTTGCATTGTGAATGGGCCTTAACAGACTTGATGTTTTCGTATAAAAATTATTTATGCTGAATTTAAAACGCACATGTATTTATAGATATGTAGTAATTTTTAATAACCAGAACCCAAATTTCTATGCATTAAAATGCCTAAAATATGACATACAATATGCATAATAAATAATTAAAATATGGAATAAATATGCAGTATATATTTTGTTTTTGAAAAACTGCTTCCTCAGTCAAGATATTTTTATAAATTGAAAATGATCTCTCCACTTCCACAGTTGTTGTGTACACTGAAATGATATGTGGGGATGCCCATACATGAGTTCTCGATTACTGGGAAAGGATTTTTGACAGATAAGGAAACTACGGTCTATCACGGGATTATATTCCATTCAAGTGCGAGACACTGGACGTGACGACCTCTGCCCCTCGCCTCACCCGAAATTCAATCTTACCTTTGGTCGCGCACGTCATACAAGCAAAACAATATCTGTAGCAGCTGGCAACAGCTATGAGGCTAAAAGGATATTCACATCGTTATGGTCACAGTTGAGCTGTTCCATGAACCACAATTATTTTAAATCATAATTCACAAATTTCTAGAAGTTTGATGTCAATAAATTCTTTTAACTTTCATCTTATATTTTCAACAATTACACCGAATATGCAGTAAAAATAAAATATGGCAAAATATGCAAAAATATGCGAAATAAAATTCTTCAGAAACGCTGTAAATGCGCAGATTCGTAAAGAAATATGATCATTTTTCAAGTTACAATTAGACAAAAACATATGCATT